ACCTACTATGCAGCGATTACTGGTCTTCAGTCCAGCGTTGAGATATTTTTTCCCTCGGCCGGAAAGTGGGGACGACGCGACCATGGTGGGGACCAATAGTTGGTGGGGGTATGCACTGATTTTCACGGTACCGCTGCGGAGAGCTTCGCGAATGCGCATGAGCACGCATGGGGGGAATAGTAGTGGGGATCGAAATACGGGCGAAAAACAGGGGAAGCAAGCGTCGAGGGATAAATGATCCGACCCCTGGTATGCAGTGATTTTCACGGTAGCGCTGCGGAGAGCTTCGCGAACGCGCATGAGCACGCATGAGGGGAATAGTAGTGGGGATCGAAATACGGGCGAAAAAGAGGGGAAGCGAACCGTGCGGGATAAAATATCCGAGCCCTGGATAAATCGTGAGAGCCCTGTGCACGGTACTACTACTGAGTAGGTGCATAGCGTGCATAGTTTGCACTCTGCAGTACTCTGCACCCCCCTAACCTCCTTACGTATTTCAGTTCAGCATCGGCAATATTGCTTTCGGCAGTTTCGGCATGCTTTACCGCCACAATGCTACTGGTGCCTGGTGCGTGCTTGCTGTGTGCTGTGTATACTATAGATACAAAATAACAAAATAATTCAGTCTTTCTGAAGTCTCCAGCCTAGTGAACATCGAAGTCTATAATATTCTCATTATTTACAAATTAAAACGTGTAGAAGCACTGTTGTTTCTTGTTTATTAATTATAATCGAGATCCATTATACGAGACGGTATGACGTCGTTCTATGATAATTACGATCATTATAAAAAGATGCTCGAGCTGCACGAGAAGCTACGGAAAAGGCAAGAATTCTTTCACTCAGATCAGTTAATTGCATTTTTTCGTTCAACACGAGACGCTTTAATTATACATACGATGCACCATTTGTTGCTGACCCTGAACACTTCGTGAGCCTCGAATTTCCATTTATTTAATTAAAATCGCAAATGCCCGAACGAATTTATAAACGCGGACCGTCTCTCATCAGCCGTTCCACCGAACCGAATGTTTCTCGACGGATCCGTCGTAATTAAATTGAATTGATTTACCGTTTCGCGTCGTACAGCGAGGAGGAAAGAATCAGATTAGAGGAGCGGTTCAAAATCCTCGTCGAGGAATCCCGCGACAGGTAAGAATTGTCGATTTTTGTACCTACTAAAAATTGTATGGAACTTGTCATTTAAATCCGTTACGGCCCGGTTGAGAATCAATAGAACCGAAATCTGACTATCTTGACGTTTGACATTAAAACTTTCGAGCCGACGAAATGCCTTTTGTCACGGATATTCGTGACCGAAGGTCAGCCAGAATTTCGATCGATAAACCAAAACCATGTATTACCGGGGAATCCAATCGTCTTTGTAATCATTCTTACAATCGCGACTTCATTTATTTTAGACATGATGCTTGTATAAACCGCCTGAGGTCCAGATTCATCGAGTTCCTGGAAGAGCAGAGTGACAGGTGCGAAAGGAACGACACAATCCTAAAAACGTTGGATAGAATCGACAATGATTTAGCGTCGATGACAATTAAAGCCGAGAGGCTCAGTGGTCAGAAGGTAGGAAGCCTTTCCTCGCACAATAATCAGTGATCAGAGCTACAGTTTTATTTTTACCGAATTAATTTGTTTTCAGAAACAGTATTACGACTCGGCTGCCGATCGACGGTTCGATAAGAACGGAGGAATCTCTCGAAACGGTGAACGATCACCCTTGAACGGTCGAAAAGGTGCTCCGAACACTCGAGAATGGGTTTCAAACGATCACCAAGTTGTAAACGATCAACAGATCCCTTGGAACGTACGAGAATTGCCTCTGACCTCTCGACGACTCATCGCAAACGCTCGAGAATTAAATACGGGGCCAGAATCATTTCCGACGAACGCTCAACGATTATATACAAGAAACGCTGAAAGAATAACTTCAAACGTTCCAGGATTCGTTAAAGAGGCTCAGAAATCTCTTTCAAGCCTTTCAGAACCGTACACAACGAACACTCAACAATTATATCCAAGAAACATAGAAGAACTCGCTGTAAATACTCAGAGATTAGCTTGGAATGTCTCAAGATTCGTTCCAAAGGATCGAAACCTGGTTTTGGCAGATCCAGATTCGTATACAACGAATGCTCAACGATTATATACAAGAAACGCTGAAGGGATGACTTCGAACGTTCCAGAATTTGTTAAAGAGGGTCCGAGATCTCTTTCGAGCTTCTCAGAATCGTTCCCAACAAATACTCAACAATTCTATCCGAAAAACATTGAAGGGCCTGCTAGATATACTCAGAGCCTAACTTGGAACGTTCCACGATTCATTGGGAAAAGTCGAAGCCTGGTTTTAAGAGATCCAGAGTTGTACACGACGAATGTCGAGCGATCGGCTTCGTACAATCAAGATTTGGCTCCGATCAATCGAACATTAGCGTCAATTAATCATCCGATGTTATCGAATAACAGACAATGTTCTATTATTAATTATTCTTCGAGCTCTTCTTCGCTTAATACGAAACGCTACGAGCCTCGCGATAATTCGTTGGACGCCAGTGAAGTGACACGGTACGCCGATATTGGAGCGAACGATTGGCCAAATAAATCGAACAGAGATGAATTTGAGAAACAGACAGTCCTGCAATTTTTTACCAGGTTTCCATCTCCTACATCATCGAGATTCAAGTTAAGGGAGTTTCAAGCGAATTCGCGAGGATATAAGAGTCCATCAAACAGAGGAACGATTAGACCGAGGTTTAACACAAATTCGATATACAATGGAATTCCAAAGAGGACCGAGTCCAGCCTTTTCGACAGCTCTTATGGCACACTTTCAAGAGGATCGAGTTTCAGGAAGAACACGTTGGGAGATTATATTAAACGAATTAAGAGGCTGCAGTTCGAGGATGAAACCGCCGAGGACGAGGCAAGGATTGCCGATCAGACCGTAAGGATAGACGACGGGGAGAGTGAAACGGATCGAAACGAGGAGATTGTGGATACGAAAGGTGGAATGAGGAAGGAGACAAGGGGAGCAACAAAAGATAAAGAGATCGTGAACGAGGAACAAAAGGAGGAATGCGAGGAGCAGAGTTTATCGCTCAGAAACGATATTATCAGATGTAGCGGTGAAAGTGTGACGGATAATCCTGCTGAAAGTTTATCAGTAATCCAACCGGATTGCTCAGAGTTTATCAGTAATCCGGCCGAATTTGAAGGTAAGGAGTGTGAAAGTAATGACGAGGAATGGTACGGCAAGGAGGAATTCGGTATTCGAAATCAGAATGAAGGAGCAGTGAGGAGTAACGAAGATCGTAGCGGTGGAAATGAAGGATATAACGTGGAAGGATACGATGATGGTAGAGAATACTCTGATCAAATTTGTGAAAATCGGAATAATCGAAATGAAGAGTATAAAGGTGGATATGATGTTACCAATCGAAAGCAACGACTGAACGATGATCAGAGCGAAGGAGCAGTGACGAGTGGCGAGAATTACAGCGGTGGAAACGAAGGGTATAATGGAAACGTGAAAGAATACGATGATGGTAGGGAATACTCTGATCAAATTGGTGAACACAATCGGAATGATCGAAATGAACAGTACAACGATGGATATAATGGTACCGATCGCGAGCAACGATCGAACAAATATCAGGGCGAAGGTGCAGAAAGTGAAAACTACAGCGGAGATATTAATCAAGGGTACCAGGATCGAGACGAAAATGAGCATTACGCTGTTAATGAAAATCGTAACGAAGAGATCGAAGCTGAGAAATACGACGATAATCAAATTGAAAATCAAAACATGGAGTACCAAGAAGTACCTATAAATGGGAACGAAGAATTTAATGAACAGTACAATGAAACTGATGGCCCGTACGTGGAATACGGTGAACATATTTCGAATAAAAATGAACATTACCAAGAGGAACCTGTGAATCCGAATGAAGAATTCAACGAACAGACTCGAAATGAAAGTGAACGGTACATTGTTAATAACGAGAATCATGACGAGGTCATCGAAACCGAGAAATGCGACGATGATCAAGTTGAAAATCAAAATGAGGAGTACCAAGAGGAACCTGTAAATGGGAAAGAAGAATTTAATGAACAGTACGTCGTCGATGAAAATCGTAACGAAGGAATCGGTCCAGCAGAAAAGTACGATGAAACAGAAAGCCCGTACGTGGAACACGCTGAACAAATTTCAAATAAAAATGAGCATTACCAAGAGGAACCTGTGAATCCGAACGAAGAATTCAACGAACAGACTCGAAATGAAAGTGAACGGTACATTGTTAATAACGAGAATCGTGACGAGGTCATCGAAGCCGTGAAATGCGACGATGATCAAATTGAAAATCCGTTGAACGTTGAAGAGATTCGAAATGGAGACGAAAATCAAGAGGCGGAAGATCAGAGTTTTGGATACGATGAACTGGCCCGTACAGAAAATCAGTTGAAATATAACGAACCTAACGAGGAAGGATACGGTGACGAAAGAGAAGGTGATCAACGGGGTAACGAAGATTACGAGCAGTATAATTACGAGAACGATCCCGATTATCAATACCGAGAGAAAGAAGAAGCCGGCTACTACGATGGCGAAGGTGATTACAAGGAAAGTGATAAGAACGGAGAGATGATGTCTGATTCAAAAAATGAGGCTGCGAATTCGGATGAAGCCGAGAGGAAGAAGAATGTAAATAAAATTCTGTTAGACTCGGACACGGACAGCACTATTGAGAAAAATGTAATATCGAACACCGAGAGCGATTTCGATTTCAATTGAATTGTACCAGGCTGCTTTTAGTATGATTTAAGCATAGTTCAGAAAACTGTAGGAAACAGTTCCGATGGAATTTTTAAGCCGTTATTAGAGCCTCTTATAAATTTCATTCAATTCTCTTGATTACAACGCAAGTTATTACAATTTGAAGTGATAAATTTTAATTAGAATAGGACTGATTTTTATGTTAAGTGTGTTTTTGTTAATATTTATGAAATTATTAAAGATAGATTTATGAAATTTTAGAAACACTTAAGCAAGACCTTCCTAAATATCTCTATCAAGGTTCATTCGATTCCCTTTGTTATTACGAAAATAATTGAAATTTCAGGGAAACTGAGTAATTGTTAAAATACTTGATTTTATAATTATTGCTGTGACTTTTTAATATATTCTGAAGGTTTTTTTTATAAAGGGCCTAGCTGGAAAAGGGAGTCAAATGTGCCCTTGAGCTGAATGAAGCGCCCTTTGCGCCATTCGGTAGCATATCAAAAAAGAAACATTCACTTCAATTTTTAGCCCTATATCTCAACCAGGGGGGTAGTAATCGGGAAAATTCGAAAAATCAGTTTTTTGAGGTACTTCCTTACTTAACGCTTTGCGAAAAATCTGAGAAAATTCTAACATGTTCATAGTGTAGCTGGAGATGTCTGAAAATTTTTTCAGATTTTTCCCTTGCAAAATGTAGCCGTGAAAAATAAAAAAGTGTTAAAAATAATTTCTTCACATTGAAATTGGGGGGGATACCACTTTCATATTTTTATGGTAGATTCGTATTGTTGCAAGGATTGTTCATGAATTTTTTCAGATTTTTAGGATTGGTGCGTCAATGTGAAAAAAATCAAAAACTATATATGTCTCATGTTCAAGTACGGAGACGGAAGATGCGTGTCCAACGACAGCGGAAGCGTAGTGGCGAAGACTGAAGCAGTGTTGAGATATTTTTTCCCTCACGGCTCGCTTCCCCTGTTTTTCGCCCGTATTTCGATCCCCACTACTATTCTCCTCATGCGTCTTCGCTGACCATGCCTAGCATACCCTCATCAAGTACCAGTCCCCACCATGGTCGCGTCGTCCCCACTTTCCGGCCGAGGGAAAAAATATCTCAACGCTGGACTGAAGACCAGTAATCGCTGCATAGTAGGTT